CTTATATAGTTACTGTTGGAATACACAGAAAAAAATAAAAGACATGCAGTATACGCTCACCATCTTCACTGCTGTCTTCAAAAGTCAGCACTTTGCACACAGATGTGGAAGCAGCATCTGTACTCAGTCCTGAAACAAATGAATGCAGTCATTCTGTAATTCATTTGTGCAAATTATGAGCAAGATGACAAAATGTAACCTGAGCGTGAATAATATGCTATCATTAATGATCTATGCTTTAAGCAGATGTTTAACTGAAAATCAACTATAAATGAAAATAGAGAGGGACCAGGATTTGACTCAGGCCTTTCTGTTTCACTGACCTGTGGTCTCCTTTAGTAGAAATGCCAGCTCCCGTGGGAGGGGCACAGGTGACTTCCTCTTCACACCTGAGGCTGCACCTACAGGTATAGTAATCGAAAAGAGTCATGGAAACATTTTTTTACTCTAGACACAATAAACAGAACATTTAATTATATGAAAAACATTATAGTTGTTTTGTACCATCGGCTGATGATGCCTGAGGTTCAGCAGTTGTACTGGACGGTGGTATGGACAGTGCTGTTAGTAGGAACTCACACATCCATACTCTTACTTCTCCTGTTTCTCATTGCAAAACAAATGTAATTTATTTCTATGCAACAGAGATGCCAAACCAAATCATTTTAACCTCTTCTCATCGAAGCAGGAGGAGCGGTATAAGTCAGTGAACAACATGCATTCAGGTGTTAGTAACTACTGCTACTTGTTTTTAACACATTCATAGAGAACAAGAACACATACTCACCCTTTGTGGTTGGTATCAATTCATAGTCCTTAGGACAGTTAGCATAATGCCAGCATACAACTATACTATTAGAGGAACATCGCCAGAACGTGGCCAGAACACACAAAACAAGAACAAGACAATATATAAAAGTTCAAGTTCAGGCTCAGCTTTGGAGAGCAATTCATGTAAAACAATTGTACTCCAGTTCTGAAACCTTTCATTTGAAAACCTGTGTTTGCTCCTGAAGATCCTCTGGGTGTGGACCCTGCTGCTGCTGGCACAGTGACTAGTTATACAGAGACAGAGGACAGAGACATATGAGACAGAAACAGACTTAGCCATTATCGCTTCTGACATTTAGTAATAACGCAGTACTTACAGCTCTGCATGTGTAGTTTTACAGGTGAGATGCTCAGCATTGCGTCCTCCAGGTCTTTATCCTCATCCATCCCTATGATGCAGGCAACAATTAGATAAATATATAATGAACTTATATTTCACATCAACAATGTTATTAAAATATTATTAAAACAACTTACCCAGGGGTTTAGTTGGAGCATTTGTGGAAGCAGGCGCAGACTGCTGCAGCTTATGCATCCGTGTTCCTTGACTGCAGCTCTTCCTCATGATAAAGTCTGCATAGCTGTCACCTCTGCCATCCCAAATCTCCTTCCAGGTGCTCTTGGCTCATGAGCCAAAGCCAACCAGCTGATCATCCTCAGAGGCTTCTGCAGCAACACTCACTCTGCTGGCCTCGTAGTCCAGAAGAGTTTTTATCTCTGCAAAGCTGAGGATATACTATACAAATGAATGCAAGCTCTCCTTGCCATGCCCTTCTTCTAAAGAGGTCCCTGCATCCTCTTCCTTCCTGAGATCTTTGATCAGGTACATGGTGTACCCGACATCATTCTCCAGAAGCCACCGGAAAGATTTCCCTTTATATTTTCCAAACTGCAGGATGTACTCTCCCTGCACTTCCTTCATGTTGGAGGCATCGTCTCCTCTCTGATAGGTGACAGTCAGAGCATTCTGATGTACAACGTCCTCCCTCACAGGTGCAGACTTGTCCTGAAGCTTGGGGTCATTTTTAATCCGTCGAGCTTCTTTTGACGAGTCCTGGAGAAGGTATCCAAGTGGACCCTTGCGGAACGCCACAGAGATTTTCCCTGGATATGGTGCAACTTTCTTGTGCATCTTGACATGCAGTGTAAAAATAAACAATTATATTAAACAAAATTGATTCCAAACAGAGACAAAGACATTTCAGGTTATAATCTTGCTGCTGGGTTTAGACAGCAGGATGCAGGAGAACAATAAAGAAACACAATTTGAAAGAACATTGACAACATTTGCGATAAAATTGTTTTTTCCTACAGGTATAACAAATTGTTCTGTCTGTAAATAAAAACCTTTCATGGTTGAATGATTATCTGCAAAATTTGTGATAACTGCTTAGTAGTCATGGCACATAAGAATTGCTGGTAGATTATCAACATATCTATTTAAGCTATCGTGTTTATTCATAAACGAGTGGGCATTGCTCATGTTAGAGAGATATCAAGACAGACTTTCGCATTGATACGATTACTGCCCATTACAACATGAAAGCAATACATTTTTTAAGCAGGTTCAGTCATTTAGCATGTAACAAGCCACTTATCGGTTATTTAATTGTACCACATTATAGTAAAGTCAGTGTCACAGCAGTCAGAAACCTACAAAGTTTATTTAACAGTAAAACACGTCAATGAAACACGCAATTTATTTAAGGAGCAGGATCGTTCATGATTTTCCGTGCCACTTTACAACAGCGGATAAACTCCCACCGTCTTTAACTAAGCGATGGATGCTTCGTAAATGCAATCGCAACACGCCTACTACCTGTAATATACACCTGTAAATGTATTCTGTTGGTTTATTCTTATTTCAAACGACGTTTCTTACCTTTGATCAATGAATGAGGAGCGTTGGGATGTGTTGCGAGCGGTGAGTTACTTGTTTTCTCTCCCGAAACGTAAAAGAGGAGATTTTTTAAAAGTGCCGCCGCATCTCAAACTCGCAACAGCGCCTGAAGACCGTAGTGGCCAAACATATATTACACCCGTAGTGGTTTAGCGCTATCATAGAGAATGAATGGGAAACGATTTAGGGCCGTTTAGCTAAACAATCCCAAGCATCGCGCGGGGGGCATTTAGATTAATGTCCACAATGCCCCAAGCCGCGCTTTCAGCCTGCCAAAAGCACATCCAATGTGCATTCGAGCTCGAATGGTCATTAAATAAAATGATCAGCAACATTGATCATTTTATTAAAAATTAAAGAATTTAGACAGTTTTTAACTCTCAGATGCCGCAGTGTGTGTTTGATTTTGGGACCTGAAGCGGAGTTTGGACTCGGAAATTAAACCTATTCCTTTTTTATGCTTTTTTAAAAACCAATACACGTAACAGTCAA